GACCCGGGAACCCGTGTCCGGGTCTAGCCCGGATCGAGGCCCGGACCCGGTGTGAAGAGTTGTACCGGGCAAGTTCGGCCTAGCCTGGGATCCAACAGTCAAAATTTTGACCATTGGATCGGGCGGCCCGAACCCAGACCCGACTGAGCCCGGTCCAACAGTCAAGAAGACCAGGCAAATCAGACGGGGTCCAGGCCTGACCCGAACCAGGCCTAGTCCGGTCTGTCAAATAACAGCTATTTTTGGTTAACTGACTAAAATACCCCCAAAAACGGTCAAAGTGACTAAAAATTGAGGGAATTTTAGTCATTTGGCTAGGGGCTGCCTCTATAAATAGATGAGTTTTTATTTATTTTTCTCATTCAAAACTCATTTACTTCTCTCTAGTACTATCTAATACTCTCTTATACTCATTCTCCAATCAAATGTCTTCCTCCTCCGATTATGAAGGGTAAGTTCCAACTCTCGATATTGAAATGACTCATACTCCTACTACACCTGTAGGAGCTACTCCTCCTACTGATGTTGATCCTGGTGGTGATGATGCCACACCTAGAGCTCCTAAAAGGCCGAGATTCGATGTATGGAATTTTTTTCGAGAAGATAAAAGTCACCATGATCAACATGGTAAACTTCTCATCCAGAAGGCTAAATGTGTGTTGTACAGCTATATTTTCCAAGCTCATCATAAGAGCGGCACCAACCAACTCATACGCAACACAATAGAGCTTAAGCGGTAGCTTCTGCAAGAGCCATCTGTCAATCTCTACTCTCTCAACCATCCACCTCTGATAGCCTCGGTTCCTAGAACTACAACGCAATTAAAGTTAGGAAATGCATCATCTGGTTTATTGTTCTTAAAAACTTTCCTTTTAGATTAGCAAAAGATGATGAATTTAGAGATATGATTAGAGATGGTTTTTATCTTGCATTAAAAAATTTATCGCCAATCTTATCAACGTGATATTTTGAAATATTATCACGATGAACAAACAAAAATAATTTCTTATTTCAATACTTAAACTATAAATTTGGACATCTGAAGTACAAAATGGCTATTTATGTACCATAGCACACTGGATTAATGATATTTGGCAAATATTTAAAAGAGTTATTTTTTTTATTGTATTTGAAGCTTCACACACTAGTGTTAATATTGCAAATTTAATAACGGAAGAACTTTCTAAATTAGGAATTTTTAAAAAATATTTTCTCTTTCGCTAGGTAATGCAAGTAATAATAATGTAGTTGTAGATCATATCAAATCATCTTTGTTATTGCCATGTCATGGTGAAATTTCTTATATTAGATGCATGTGTTATATTTTAAATTTAATTGTTCAAAGTGTATTTAATGAAATTACATACATGATAGAAAAAGTTAGGATTGTACCTTATGCTCATAATTTTTCTGAACAAAGACTTGATCAAAAATGGAAACAATTGTGTAAAAAAAAATTTAGACCCAAGTTAATTCTAAAAGATATTGATCGCACTTGGAATTCCACCTATGCAATGTTAAATGTAGCAATAGATTATAAAAAATTATAAATGATTTTATTATTTTCTATGCTTCTAGTTCTAGTTTTCGTAATATGTATAGAATAATCGATGAAGAATGGACAGTTATATATAGTGTAAAAGAGATGCTACAAGTTTTTTATGAAACTACTATGTTATTATCTAGTTATTATCCAACTACTACTCAAGCTGCTTTGCAAGTTTTAAGTATTCAAATTTTTTCACTAATTATCATATGGATAATTATTTTAAAAATATGAATATTCAAATGGAAAGTAAATTTTAGTAAGTAATTTAGACCTATTCTTATTATTTTTGGTTTGGGGTTCTTATTGATCCATGTTTGAAGGATGTTGGTCTTCAATTTATTAATTTCTTTAATGAGAATATAAAAATAGATATTGATGATGGTCAGATTTGACGCCCCTGTTTGCACACATGACTACAGTCAAAGGTGAACACAGAGATATCAAACCTGACATGCACCCACACTGTGTAATAACACGTTTTACCAATCACACTAATATCCTCTAGTGGTATCAAAAGAAGTGCATGTACAAAACAGTCAAAATAAAGAAATAAACGTAATAGACATGATATGGAAAGAGATATCTCATAAATAAAAATCATGTCTCAACTGAAATACATCTGATATATGAAATAAAGAAAAATGTCTCAACATGAATCAACTGGAAATCGTACTAAGACACATTGTCTTTACAATGTAAAAACAAAACTCTAATGTCTGAAAGAAACTACAAAACTATGGTGAAGTCTCTAATAATAAAATCATGCGACGATGACTATGCCAGAACTGCGTCATCCTACGTCTCTCTGAAGCTCTGAACTGCCTGAAAGAAATTGAAAATAACAAAAAGAACAATAACAAAAGCTTCAGAGTGCTAAAACAAGATTACCTCCATCCACCCCCAGGGGAAGGGCTGCTAGATGAAGTAGAGGATCTATCTATTAAGCATAGTCTACCTAGATCATTTTTCCTGTATCTAATGGAATTAATATTTAGACACTTACAATACGAGGCGTAGTACGTCGAGCGACATAATCCAAACAAGAAAACCATCATGTATTTATCATTGTCTCAAATTATAGATATCTAAACATTAATATCGAACTAAGAATAGACAACCTAAATGAAATCAACAATTAGTAACTCACAACACGAGACTGGTACGTCGAGCGAAATAATCCAAACAAGTAAACCTTCATGTATATACCATTATCTCAAATATTGAATCGCTAATCATTGATCCCAAACTAAGAATAAAATAAAGTAGTACAGAAGGTAAAGACATTCATAATATCGTATTTATAATATCTTCCACTATCACTGGGAAAATAAGATAAATACCAACATATATCTCCGCATACTTTCAAGTATAAAGTATCTTGGTCATATATCTCAGCAATGAGTCATATACACAACTGACATCCACCAAAAACTCAGGCTATTAATAGTCGTTACAATGCAAATCCTTACAAGATATGATTTATCACATTATTATGCGGGACAGACTACCTTGTAGGTATCCTTAATAGTCTACACAGCTTATTAGTCTCATCGCGATCTCAGTGCATAACATGAGTGTAGGACAACCTACCGTATAGGTATCCTAAAAGACGGCTCACAAGCCTCATCGCACTCTCGTGCGGACGTACTGCTAGACAAAGTATCCAAACCCGACTCAATGGCCTATACAAATGGAATATCGACGCATTACCACACGTAGTACTGAACTAAGCTCATCAACGATATCCATCTCGTATATAAACTGTGTATATCTGGTATATCAACGTACTATTCCATATA